TGATTCTCAACATGATGAAAAGGAGACAAATGCCAATATATAGAACACTACACAAAGAACTAAGGAACAAATGCAGGCAGGCTAAAGAGGAATGGCTCAATGAAAAATGTGCAGAAATAAAAAGAATGAGTGTCACAAATAAAGCAGACACACATAAAAAAAAAAAAATAAATAAAAAAAAAATAAGAGAACTAATGGGACAAAAGACATACTCATCAACAAGATGCATAAAATCCAAGGGCGGAATGATAATATTGGAGAAAGAAAAAAATACTTCATAAATAAAATGAATATAATGAAAAACTCTTCCATGACAAAAGAGAACAACAAACAACATGGACTGAAAATATTAAAAACTGAACAGGAATCTGCACTGGCCAAATTGAACAGAAACAAAGCAGCAGGGCCAGATGAAATGTTAATAGAGATGTTGGCAGCTTTAGATGATTTCAGCATAGACAAGATTACAGAAATAATAAATTTACAACAGTGTTGATATATCAGAAGACCTAAATAGATGTATTTTCCATAACACTAAGAAGCAAGGTGCAAACGAATGGATTCCATCAGGCAATCATCATAATGAGTCATATAACAAAAGCCATCATCTAAATTCTGATGAATAGTGTGTGCAGCAGGACAAAAAACAGTGCAAAAACACTGGAACAAGAAATGTGATATTTATGTTCAGAATGTTATCAGAAAGAGCAATACAAATGCAGAAGGATGTGTACCTCTGTTTTATAGATTATACAAAAGTGTTCAATAAAGTATGCCACAAAGATCTACTGGAACTGCTCAGCCACCTTGATATATTTGGGAAGGATATTAGAATAATCAAGAACCTATACTGGCAGCAAATCGCCTGTATGCGGGTAGAAAATGAGTTCAGCTGATATACAAAAAGAGAAAGGGATATAAGACAAAAATGCATCTTCTCACCAGACTTATTCAACATATACAGTGGGACAATTCTGAAAGAATTAGAAGCCCTGCCATGATTCCTCATTACTGGCCACAATCTTAACAACATAAGATATGCAGATGACACAATGTTGATAGCAAACACAGAGAGAAAACTACAAAAACTCCTATGCAAGGTAGTGAAGGAAAGTGAGAAGAAAGGACTAAACACCAACTTCAAAAAGACAGAATGCATAGTTGTTTGCAAAAGGATGAGCCCAAATTTACAAATCAGAAATACCATAATCAAACAAGTACAAAAATTTAAATATCTAGGAAGTGTTCTAACAGAGGGCAGAAAGTGTGACACTGAAATATGAAGGTGCATTGGTATAGCCAAAGATGCCTTCCAAAAGCTAAGAAGAGGATTAAGAGATAGAAAAACAAAGAAAAGAGTACTGAAGTATTACATGATATCTGTCCTCCTGTATGGTAGTGAATGCCAGACAATCTCCTCAAAGATGAAGAAGAGACTTGAAGCAACAGAAGCATGGTTCTACAGAAGGATGCTGAGGATACCATGGACTGAACATGGAAGCAACGATAAAGTTTTAGAGAAAATGGAAACAAAAAGGAAACTTATACTTAACATCAGGAACAGATAATTGAAATTTCTGGGGCACATAATGAAAGAGGAGGGCTTAGAAAATCTGATACTCACAGGACAGATTGAGGACAAGAAGGGCAGAGGAAAACACGGCATAACATACTTGATTAGTTTGAGTAAATAAATTGTGGAACAGGAGAGAGCTACAAAGGTCAGGAAATTGTGGAGAGCCATGATTGCCTATGTCCAGGGACAGGGTACATAAAGAATAATATGGGATATTTAGTTAATCAAATATGTTTCTACAACTGATATTTTATTAATTTTTAAATAAAAGTTTGTTGCAGTTTGCATAATAAAATCTGACATGAACAAAATAATTGATTATGAATATTTTCAATGAAGATAATTATTATTCAAAATTCAAATTACCACTTTTTTTTATTTACATATGCTCTATCCCTGATAAAAAGCACTTTATCCCATAAATATAGCACACCTAAGACTAATATATATATATATATATATATATATATATATATATATATATATATATATATATATATAAACACACTAACTTAAAAACTGCCCTATCAAGCAGCATTTAAGTTAGCTTCTGTGGAGAGCTCTTGATTGGGACTTCATCACAATATGTAGGAGTAGTATATGTAGGCAACAAAACTACAGAAGAACTCAAAATTGATTGCATTAATATTCATGATAACCTTTTAAAAGTTCAACAATAATTCTTCTGCTGGTTTTAATTGAAAAGACAATTTAATGTACATAGATCTTTACTTTCTGTACAAACAATTATTTTTATTTCATGGGCGACTTTCACAATTAATTTTGATTATTCCCAAATTTATTTCCAAGTTATAAATATTGTTATCATACAAAAAAAAAATCTGTTGCAAACAAAAAAAAAAATCACTTACAAAAATCACCAAAAACAGTCACAGTAATGAAAACTTAGGAATGCAAAATTTCAGGATTGCGAGTTCAGATCAGGCCAAGAATCTTTTTAATTTGCTCATGGAGTTGGCCTGATTCCAAAATGGTAAATGTGGGGCTACAGCCTCTAGGAGTTGCAAAAGTGTGACACACTGACATTCATATTTATTATATAGAAGATGAGCTATTAGAAGTTAGAGAGTTGTGTCCCTTTATTTGAAAAAGTGTGATACACACATTTATGTTGTGTGTGTGTGTGTGTGGTGGAAGTCAATTTGTGACCAAATAAGTCCATATCATACCTTCAGACTTACTTAATTTTTTTTTTTTTTTACACATTTTAAATATCATCACTTCCTCGCTGATGACATTTCAAATGGCTTTTAAAAACTGCAAGAATCTTACGGTTTTTCCCACATTGCCAACATATTGCAACTTGACTTTCTCAATGCTGGCTGTGGAAATGCCATGTGAGTCCATTGGATGATCAACACACTTTATGGCAGATTGTACATGTATGATCATTGGGGATGTCATATTGATAGATAACATGATGTTGACTATGTATGTGGCTGGGAAGATCTGCTTATGAAAAGCAACTGCATTCACATTGCTCACATGTAAGAGATTCCTTTGATCCACGTTTTGGAAGACGACTGGCGCTACTCATATATCTGCCTGCACATTTTTTGTGGTTCCTGCTGTTCTCAAAATTCACAGCACCAGTAGCAACCAAATTTTTCCATGTTTGCCAATTTGATGCAAGTTCTTTCCAGGTGTCTATGTGTCTTTTGAGCATGTCCTTCAGATTGTCATTATAACACTTTGCAAGGCTTACACTGCGGCCATCTTCCCTGTGCTAACTCCCCATACATAACCTGTTTAGGCATTCATGACTCTTCTACGTGAACAAGGTGACCAGACCACATAAGTTAACTAGAACCACCCAACACCCTCCTACCATAATTCAGATATTTGGCCAGGTTTTCAGACCTTTTCATCACCTCCCCTTAATTGCATTAATATTATAACACGAGTGTACCCATGCTGTCAAAATTTACAGCAAGAACGAATGTATTGTAAGTAATTTTCGTTTAATCCAAGTACAATTTTTTTCTGTGTAACAATTGAGAGGTGAAGTGCGTGAAATAACAATGATTCACCTACCCAACTTCAAGTTATTTTAGTTAAATAAAAATTATGAGAGATAGACATGAGTTACAGGTAACATTAGTAGTGTTGAATATTTGTTTTACAAATTTAACCATATTTTATTTGCTTTTTAGGGCCAATTAGTAAAAAATAAATATAATTTATGTAAGTATGTGAGAAACAGTGAAATGTTTTTATGTTTCTTTTTTCTTTTCAAAAACAAATATAACTTGAATTTGAGCATGTGGGTCATCGTTTGTGTAAAAGAATCAGTAGGTGTGTGCATGATTTTCGAAGTAACAGGGGATACAAGAGATATTTAGAATTTAGTTCTTATTGTGAACAATGTGGCTATTGTTCAAGGCAGTCTCTTTGTAGTATTCAGTTTGGTACCTTTTTTTAATGTGGATGTAAATGGAGGTTTTGATGTCTGTGTGTCTCATGTCAAAATTTTGCACACTGCCCCTCAATTGTTACAGAAAATATATATATATATATATATATGTGTGTGTGTGTGTATTAAGGATTATATTGTTTATATCATTTCCAACAACAACTTCTTCAGTGTGGCTAATACTACTTTTAAACAGGCGTTAGACCAATTCTTTTATCATTGATCATGTTAATGTGTAGAAATGAAACTTTTGCTTATCTGATGTTTACCCTCAAAACATTTTGTACTAACACCCAAGACTATAGCACACACAGCCACATGCCTTCTTTATGCTAAGTGCTAGAGACCAAAAAACCCTAAATGTTTTTAGGAATCACTCAAACAACTGTCAAACTGTCATCAAATAAATCAGATTGTTATGAAACTCATCAGCATCAAGATATGAATGGAAAACCATATTTATTCAAATTTATTTTAATAATAGTAAAAAAAAAAAAAAAAAAAAAAATGTCTTACCTTGCAGTTCAAAGTAAATGATTTCAGAAAAGTTGCCAACACGAGTCATTTGGGAAAAAATGCTCTTTGTGTGACCAGCAACTTTCAAAGAATATTTTTTATTTGTCAATAAGTCTTCCACTGTTGCCTGAAGAGTAAAATAAATATATACATATAGATATTTGAAGCAAAAATATATAACTTAGAAAATACATTAAATATATATCAATTTCTCTACTCTCTATGTAACTATATCTGCTAATGTATTTTCAATGTTTTGGCAATTTTCTTCTGAATGAATGATAAAAAAATGATTGAGAAGTTAAATTTTATTTTATAATTACATCAGTGCACTAAAAATAAAAATAAACTAAAAATAAGAAACTACAAAATAAAAAATTAGAACAAAAATAAAAAATAATTAGAACAATTCCATAAATGTAAAAGAAAAAATAAAGAAAAAAAAATAAAGAAAAAGAAAAAAATAAGGAAAAACTAAAAAGAAAATAAAGAAAATAAAGAAAAGAAAAAGACGAATAAAAGAAAAAAAAGAAAAAAGAAGAAAAGAGAAAAAAGTGAAAAGAAAAAAGAGAGAAAAGAAAAAAGAAAAGAAAAAAGAAGAAAAGAAAAAAGAAAAGAGAAAAAAGAAAAAAGAAGAAAAAAGACAAGAGAAAAAGAAGAAAAAAAAAAAAGACAAGAGAAAAAGAAGAAAAGAAAAAAGAAGAAAAAAGACAAGAGAAAAAGAAGAAAAAAGACAAGAGAAAAAGAAGAAAAAAAAGAGAAAAGAGAAAAGAAAAAAGAGAAAAGAAAAAAGAGAAAAGAGAAAAGAGAAAAGAGAAGAGAAAAAAGAGAAGAGAAAAAAGAGAAAAGAAAAAAGACAAGAGAAAAAGAGAAAAGAAAAAAGAGAAAAGAAAAAGTGAAAAAAGACAAAAGAAAAAAGACAAGAGAAGAAAAGAAAAGACAAGAGAAAAAGAGAAAAGAAAAAAGAAAAAAGACAAGAGAAAAAGAGAAAAGAAAAAAGTGAAAAGACAAGAGAAAAAAGAGAAAAGAAAAAAGACAAGAAAAAAAAAAAGAAAAGAAAAAAGTGAAAAGACAAGAGAAAAAAGAGAAAAGAAAAAAGACAAGAGAAAAGACAAAAGAAAAAGAGAAAGAAAAAGAGAAAAGAAAAAAGAGAAAAGACAAGAGAAAAAGAAAAGAAAAGAAAAAAAAAAAAGAAGAAAAGAAAAGAAAAGAGAAAAGAAAAAGACAAGAAAAAAAAAGAAAAAAAAAGACAAGAGAAAAAAAAAAGAAAAGAAAAAGACAAGAGAAAAAAAGAAAAAAAAAAAAGAAAAGAGAAAAGAAAAGACAAGAGAAAAAAGAGAAAAGAAAAAAGACAAGAGAAAAAGAGAAAGACAAGAGAAAAAGAGAAAAGAAAAAAGACAAGAGAAAAGAAAAAAGAGAAAAAAGTGAAAAGAAAAAGACAAGAGAAAAGAGAAAAGAAAAGAAGAAAAGAAAAGACAAGAGAAAAAGAGAAAAGAAAAGAGAAAAGAAAAAGAAGAAAAAGAAAAAGACAAGAGAAAAGAGAAAAAAAAAAAGAGAGAAAAGAGAAAAGAAAAAGACAAGAGAAAAAAAGAAAGAAAAAGAGAAAAGAAAAAAGAAAAAGAAAAAAAAGACAAGAGAAAAAGAAAAAGAAAAGAAAAAGAAAAAAGAGAAAAGAAAAGAGAAAAGAAAAAGAAAAAGAAAAGAAAAGAAGAAAAAAAAAAAGAAAAAGAAAAAAAGAAAAAAAAAAAAGAGAAAAGAAAAAGAAGAAAAGAAAAAGAAGAAAAAGAAAAAAAGAAGAAAAGAAAAAAGAGAAAAGAAAAGACAAGAGAAAAAAGAAAAGAAAAAAGAAAAGAAAAAAAGAAAAAAAAAGAAAAAAAAAAAAAAGAAAAAAAAAAGAAAAGAAAAAGAAGAAAAGAAAAAAGAAAAGAAAAAGAGAAAAGAAAAGAGAAAAAAAAAGACAAAAGACAAGAGAAAAGAGAAAAGAAAAAGACAAGAGAAAAAAAGAGAAAGAAAAGAAAAGAAAAAAAAAAAAAAAGAAAAAGAGAAAAGAAAGAGAAAAAGAGAAAGAGAAAAGAAAAAGACAAGAAAAAAAAGAGAAAAGAAAAAAAGACAAGAAAAAAGAGAAAAGAAAAAGACAAGAGAAAAGAGAAAAGAAAAGACAAGAAAGACAAGAGAAAAAAAAGAGAAAAGACAAGAGAAAAAAGAGAAAAGAAAAGTGAAAAGAAAAAGACAAGAGAAAAAAAGTGAAAAGAAAAAGAAGAAAAGAAAAAAAAAAGAAAAGAGAAAAGAAAAGTGAAAGAGAAAAAGAGAAAAGAAAAGTGAAAAAAAAAAAGAAGAAAGAAAAAAACAAAGAGAAAAAAAGAGAAAAGAAAAAGACAAGAGAAAAGAGAAAAGAAAAAGTGAAAAAAAAAAGAAAAAGAAAAAGAAAAAGACAAGAGAAAAGAAAAGACAAGGAAAAAAGAGAAAGACAAGGAAAAAGAGAAAAGAAAAAGGAAAAGAAAAAAGAAGAAAAAAAAAAGACAAGAAAAGAGAAAAAGAAAAAGAGAAAAGAAAAAGAGAAAAGAAAAAGAGAAAAGAAAAAAGGAAAAGAAAAAGAAGAAAAAAAGACAAGAGAAAAAGAGAAAAGAAAAAAGAAAAAAAAGACAAGAGAAAAAGAGAAAAAAAAAGACAAGAGAAAAAGAGAAAAGAAAAAGTGAAAAGAAAAAAGACAAGAGAAAAAGAGAAAAGAAAAAAGAAGAAAAGAAAAAAGACAAGAGAAAAAGAGAAAAAAAAAGAGAAAAGAAAAAGTGAAAAGAAAAAAAAAAAAAAAAAGAAAGAAAAAAAAAAGAAAAAAGACAAGAGAAAAGAAAAAGTGAAAAGAAAAAGACAAGAGAAAAAGAGAAAAGAAAAAAGAGAAAAGAAAAAAGAAGAAAAGAAAAGACAAGAGAAAAAGAGAAAAGAAAAAGTGAAAAGAAAAAAGAAGAAAAGAAAAAAG